AAGGCTAACCTCCTTTGCTTTTCTACACATGAAATTGCTTTCCTAAGGTCTAAAGGGGGCCTTGAACCTCACAGAGGCCCCTTAATTGCCTATGTCTTACATTTATGGCATATGAAAGGGTTTTATTCTCTGATCTAAACAGCAAGAATAAAAGAAGAGCAGGAGGATGAAAAGAAGTCATAATTTGCATCCAAGATGGAGGAGCCCTTTGTTGTCCCGCATCCACATCAACTTCAAAGTTCGCTGCTGAACCGTAGATGCACGTCAGTCACCATGGCAACCACCCAGCTGCCCAGGCTGCCCAACCCTGACAGCCCACTGCCAACCACGGTGTGTGCCTGGCTTCCGGGGAGCTGGGGGGCGGGGAGGGGGAAGACACAGGGGCTACGGTGGGTGGGGAGTCTGAGCACACAGTCAGCCTGGCCCCTCTGTCCTCAAAATGTCTTATTGCTTCTCTGTTGGGGGAGAGGGGTCTGAGTCACCACTTCCACCTCAAACACCTGCTCCGTACCCGAGCAAAAGAAGTGCTCTCCTGAAGGGCTATACCTCAGTGCCGGACACAACATCATTAAACAAAACCTTGTGAATGAGTAAATGAATGAAGTAGCAGCCAGAGTTACCTGAGAGCTTCTAAAGTACTCACATACTGGGCCCCACCTGAAATCAGCTGCATCAGAATTGCTGGGAGGTACACTTAAGACTGGGGGCTTCTTAAATGCTACCCACGCGCCTCTCAAGTCAGAGAGGGAGCGAGAAGAAAGTGGAGCCAAAAGAGCCTCCTGGGGCATCAGCTTGAGCAACTGGCAGGCGGGGTGGAGGGGGACCCCGGGCAAGGTCAGAGCCCAGTCCTGGACTTGCTGGAGAGGGATACTGGGGAAGCAGTCATGAGCCTGCCGTTCTGGGGGGAAGCCAGGACTGGAGATGGTGCTTATATCCACCAGAGTGGATGAGGCCAAAGAGAGGGGATGGAGACTGGGAAGGAATGAAGGGTCCAAGCTGAAGCCCTGGAGCCCAGTGAGGAGGGCCCAGAAAAAATCATGAGCCTCAGAGACAGAACAGCAGACAAACGGTATTGTGGAAGCCAAGAGGAAGAGCCAAACGCAGGCTGGGGATGAAGGATGCAGTCATGCCAGGGGACCCCAGGGGACCACGTGGGGAGCCAGGGAAGGATGCCCCTACCCCATGTGTGCTGGGGTGCTGGCCACTGCAGGTGCCCCACCTGGGTGGGGGCTGCCCTTGCTGCCTGGGTCCACAAGATCGGGACCACCCCAGAATCTGCGGGGCTCACTGAGTGTCCTGCAAGCTGACTAAATGCACCCTTTTCCCCAATCACAGTGAGAGGGACTGGAGAAAGCAGAAACAGCTCGGATGTTTTTAGGAGCTCACGAAGCTGGGCACTGGGCTACAGCACCTCACATGGATCATCTTGTTCGATCCTCACAGTAACCCTTTGAGGTCAGTACTGTCTCTGTGTTGACTGGCCAGGCAGCCCGTGTCCACAGGCAAAGGCCTTAACCACTAGGCTGCACTGTTGCTTCTGGGTCTGCACAATGAGGGAGCTCTGGGGAAGTTTCTGGGCTGGTGTCCAAGTGCCTTCCTCTTGACTCTATCAGTCACCTTCTTTCTGAGCATCTCTGGACAGTGGGCAGTCTTACCGCCTAGCAGAAACCAGGGCACAAATCTTGTTAGTTTGTGACCTCACCTAAGGTTATTCACTGTGTGCACACAGGCCGGTGTGGCTGGAGGGGACCCGGTGGCCAATGGGAATGTGGCGGGACCTCTGGAAAGGCCAGCAGGAGGCTAGCTTAAGCGGATGTCCCCCTGGACAGCATTTCCTTCTGTTGAGTACCTATCAGCTAGGGGCAGGTTTGGGACATTTATTCAATTTAAAGGGCCCTCTTTATGAAAAACATACAAAATTACCAATTCAAAACTAGATTTGAATATGAATATTTCTTTAGAATGAGAAAAAAACTAACAAATTAAAATGCTGACAAATACAGACACATACAACTGTGTAGCACATTGTCAGGGTGTGTTCTGGCTAAGGGAGTCCCAGGTGAGCCAAAAACCATGACCTTAAACTTCATCAGTTTCCGGATAAATCACTTCTGCCTTTGACACACGGACCTTGATCAGAGTCAGTGCAAGGCTCTGATCCTTTGTTTCAAGCACCACCTTCTAGGGCTTGGCCTGACCCACCCAAATTGGGGAGGGGTTAGTGTTAGGGAAAGTTCCAGCAGTTCTAAGCAGAGCCCACCCCCGTGGTCTGGCACAAGTGTTCAGGGTAAAGGCTCTGACCTGAGCACCAGCATTCATCTTCTCTGTAGGTTAGTCATAGGGATTTAGTCACACCACAGACGTATACTGAGTACCTACTGCACTCCAGCCCCATGCGGGGGCCACATACCATGAACCACGTAGATGGAGCCTAAAAGGTTTGAATGTGTAACACGGGCTGAGAGCCTGGCACATATTATTTGCTCATTAAAACTCATTAAACCTCCTGCCCATTTGCCAGGCACCCTCCCAGGTCAGAGCAAGGCATCCAGTAGCCCACAGGCCAGTGTCCTAGGAGAGCAGGTCACTTCAACTTCCCACCCATCAAAGCAGCAGCCACTCAAACCCAGGCGGTCAGCAGGACCACAGGCGCTGCCCAGGCCCATCCTCTCCTTTCTGGAGAGACCCAGAAACAGGGCCACAGCCAGGACTGGCACTCCAGCCAGGTCTTCTGAGTCCTAGCCCCTCTGTCCCTACAGCCTTACTAGGCCTCCCCAAGCCCCTTTTGTTAAGAGCTTGCTGCCTGGGCGCGCCCCCTCCCGACTCCCACTTAGTACAGTGGTTCTCAGTGAGAATCACCAGGCAGCAGCTTAGAAACAAAAAGCGAGCCGCAGCGTCAGAACACAGCCACTTGCGGGCATCACTCCCAGGGCCTCCCACCCAGCAGGCTGCAGACGCGGCAGGTCATCTGCACATTGTAGAAGCTTCCAGGTGTCTTTCTTGCAAACTCCAAACCATCGGGAAGGCCCTGCTCTCCTGAGCGAGGCTGGTGGGTCAGAGAAGGACACATCCAGGGTGCAAGGGAGCTAATGGTGGCATTACTGACAGGACACCACCCACCAAGTGGCTGAGGCTCGAGCGGTAACATTTCGGGTACTGACCTGAGCTTGGCAGGACATGTGATTAGAGGGACACGAGACAGCCGTCCAAGGCAGCTGCTCCGAGGACATGCGTCCGAGGTGTTGCTTCACTGGATGTCTGTGGCGAGGACAGAAGTCCGAGGCATCCCCTCTCAGGGCCAGGGAGGAAAACGGGTCGGAGGCCCCCCTTTCCAAAGGACCAGGCAGGAAACAACCGCTCCCGGAGGACCTTTCCTCTGAGGCGCTGGGTGGCGGATGCGCCACCTGCTGGCGCCAGAGAGCGAGCCCCGCGCGGTCTGGTGGCGCCACCTGGCGGTCACTTAGGGACGGACTCGGCTTGGGGTCTGGGTGTGTTGGGTGTGTAGTAAGCGATGGCTGCTCTCCTGGGCATCTGTGCGCCTAAATTCTGCCCTGAGTTCTCCCATGTGTGGCAGACACCGCGAAGTACAGATAAGAGGATTAAAAGAAAGAGAAAAATAATAATGAAAAAGACATATTATTTTATTCGGGCAGCTCAGAGTTTGGAGAGGACCTAGTTACAATCCTGTAACAGAGGAAGGGGTTACAGTGAATGCAGTGGGAGCATGGAGGAGACCAGGGGACCACTTCCAGGAGTCAGGGGACACTACCCAGAGGAGTGGACATGTGGGCCGAAGCATGAAGTTAAATCTTCATCGATTCTAGAAGGGAGGAGGGCATTCAGGCTGAGAGAACAGCTCGTGCAAGGTTCTCAACTCTGACCACACACTGGGATCAATTGGGGACCTTTTAAAAAGCCCAGGTGGCACCCCCGACCAATGATGTCCGAGGGGCGGGGGAGACACGGGCACTCTCTGAAGCCCCCAGGTATCAGTGTACAGGCAGGGTTGAGAACCACCAAGCAAAGTCCTGGAGGAATGAACATACGTTCCTGCCCAAGGGTGCAGGAGTGAAAAGCTCAAAGTGGAGGGAATACGGGTGCATGGGGCAGAGAGGCGAGAAATGAGGAGCAGGGAGGTATGGCTGGCCACCTCCCCAGAACCACAGGAGAATACCCACTAGCAAATGAAATAAGCAAACGATGTGACCCTTAATTTGCACAATATGTATCCTTGACAAACTCCATGTTTGCCTTTGAACAGGACTTTCTACTGCCTCGAGGAGGGAGTGGCTGAGAGATTCAAAACCACCTGTAATTACCTCCATGGTTCTCAGGATGTACCTGATCGTCTTCAGGATCCTCTTTGAGCCTGGAAAACAACAAGCACTCCATGAATGTTTGCTGAGCTGAACTTTGAATAGCCCTTCCTTCTGATCATGTGCTGTCATCTGAGTGGCCAGTCTTGATTATCTTTGGGTTTGAGGGGCTTTGCTGCACACAAACTGGGCTACTGTGACTTCAAGGATGTCACCTAGGCACCTATGGCTCTGCCACACATGCCAGCTCATTTACGAACAGCTCAGGAGCGTACCCACGGAATGAGTGCCAGCTCTTTCACGTACCAACCCAGTCACATAGGTATCAACACCTTCACAGGCCAACTCAGTCAGGAGGTGCCGATCAGTGCTGCTTGCTGAGATCCATGGTCTACGCCGAACCTGGCAATCAGGAAATATGCAGGCCCGCTGTGAACATGGGTGACTATCCCACTCAGTGTTGTTGGTGTAATTTACAAGGGCTGGGACTGGGCTGACTTTGCCCCATTTGTGCGGGCGTTCAAGAAAAAGAAGTGGCTCAGAGTAGTTCTGCTCCATCAAAGATAAATGGGGAGCAGCTCAGGAAGATTTTAATTTAGCTGAAAAAGTACAAATTGCAAAAACAAAGGTTTTTTTTTTTTACACTGCAGGAAATCCAGTGACATCTATAAGGTGTTTTATCTACATTTGGAGGGGCTCTTGAAAAATGAAGACAGGGCAATTAATTGGAGTATGGAGGACGGTGATCATGTTTGTTTAATGTCCCAGTAGGAAGGACATTGGCCACACTTCTGCAGGGCTGAAATCAGTCATCATACAGGATTTGTCTCCGAGGTCCCAGGTGACAGGCTGCAGTGCCACCAACTCTAACTACACTGCCCCCAAAGACAAGGCAAGATAACCAGCATGGCCGGTGTTGTCACACAGGAGATGATGGAGTCTTCACTTTTTACAAGGGTGGCAAAACTTCCCTTTTGCAAAGAACAGCATGAGATTTTTGTACATGTGAATCAACCTGTTTTGCACCAACTTGAAAGCAATGTACACAATCTCCATCCCAACAATGATATAGATGGAGAAGAATAAGAAGAAGTGCGGGTGTTCTAACACGGTGTCCCCAAACCCAATGGTGGTCAGCGTGACAAAGCAGAAATAAAAGGCGTTCTCAAAGTCCATCCGCTTCTCCCAGATGGGGAGGATGGCGGCCGCACAGGAAATGTAGGCAAAGACAACGAGGACAATGATGGGGAGCGGGAGGTCCAGGCTCTCCACCTGCTGCCCCACCTCGTCCAGGTTGCTGATGATGGAGGAGGAAAGCATCCCTGACATCAGCTCAGGACACGAGCTGCTCTTCCCCATGGCCCCAGGGGGCACTTGCAGCCTGTTCTCTTTCTCTCGAGCTAGAAGTCTCTCAAACAGTTCCATGTTGCTGCTGGAGGCTGAGGGACGCCTGCCAGCTTTGGGGCCCGGGACCTCTTGGGCATTGATGACAATCCGTGGGACGGCTTCATCCTCGGGCTTGGCGTCAGACCTTCTTTTGCAGGGGAGTCGGGGGCACCATTTGAGGCGGGGAGCAGGGAGGAAAGAGAGTTTTCGGAATTGATTGTAAGAGGTGGAAAAGATGGTTGCCAGGAGGTCGCCCGTGTCTTTGAGGACCAAGAACATCAAGGGGATGCCAAAGAGCGCGTAGAGCATGCACAGGTATCTGCCGAGCCTGGTGACAGGGTAGACGTGGCTGTAACCTGAAAAAGAGGACAGAGCCCGGGACTGTTTGCTCTTCCTGCTGTGCCCCACCCCCCTAAAAAAAAAGCTTTAAAGAGACCTTCTGCCATTTCCCTTCCTTGGCATGACATTTTTACACAATGTGTTTTAAAATAATCATCTTAAGACAATCATATGCTTGTCTGACGTTAGGTCTGCTTTGGTGGCGGAGGAGCAGGAGGTGAAACCAGGCTTCTCTTTAGGATCAGGAACAAGTCATGTCCAGATCTTTGACCCGAAATGTCCTTGGCAGGGACAAGCTCGTGTTTGGGAGTGAGCTGTCTGCCTCTCATTTTGCATTTTCATTTCTGAGCATCTGGGAGAGGATGGGCCCGCTCACCTGAAGGGACAGGCTGAGCACAGGTGGGAGGGTGTGCTGGCTCTGCCTCCATCATCCTCCATGAAGGCACTGGTTTTGAAGAAGACACCCTTGTCCTCCCTGGGAAGTCTGGGCTTCTATGTTCATTTCTACTTGTAGGCAAGTATCACGTGCCAGTGGCGTGTACAGCAATGTACATGGCATTTGGGATGGTAGAAAGATGGAAGGTGAGCAAAATTCAATCACCCTCAGAGCTGTCTGCAGTTTAGTGAATTAGAAAACATGTTCAGAAATGAGTGAAGTGGTGAGGACCCCAGCACCTGGGGTCTTTGGTTCCAGTCCCAGCTCTGCCATTTACTAGGAAGTTACTCGACTGCTCACATCTTCAGGTTTCTTATTGGGAAACGGGATGACAATCCCTGCTTTGTACGTTGACCAGCGCCTCCCACACAGGGGGCGTGTCCTTCGGGGGGCGTGTCCTCATTCTAACAATAGCTGTGGATACTGGGGGCTGGGTATCAACCACTGTCACAGGTAGGCATTGTTATCATCACAGATGGGGAAACTGAGGCTCAGAGAAGCAAAGAGACTTAGTCAAGAGCATATGTGTGGAGTTAGGGGTCAACCCCCTGGAGCCATCCCGCTACAAAGCCAGCTCCCTCCACTGGGTCAGCAGCACTGAGCAGGTGGGACCCTCCAACCATCTAGAACAGGTCAGCCCAGCAAAGGTGGGGGTGGTGCTGAGGCCTCCATATTCTTCAGGAGCCCCCTCCTTCCATCACCCCAGCCCCGCCCTCGTGTCTCCAGAGGGGCAGGAGCAAAAGGACTGTCAACCCCTCCAGCACAACTCATTGGCTCTTCCGGAGTGGGCAAGCTTAGCACCTTCAACAAAGAGGGAGGCGCTTTTGTATTTAATGCCTGTGTTTAAGTTTTGGTGTCTCAGAGGATGATTAACACAGAAAACCCCAGCCCAATTATGTAAATTAACTGGAAGGCAATTCCTGGGCTGGCTGGGCCCAACCTCCTCCAGGGCTGCAGCTTCCTTTGCAAACTCTGGCCTCAGGCTCTGCCTTCCAGGCGTGTACAGGAGTTCAGGCCGCCCACCCTCACCAGGGCCCTGGCCGAGGGCTGTGGCCTCCATGGGTCACTTCAGTTTGTATCCATCCCAGAGAACTCTGTGCCTCCCGGGCTGCTTCTATGAGGCACCATGTGATGGCTGGGGCGGTGAACTCTATGTGCATTATTGTCTGTGCATTTGAGCGCTTACTGCATGCACTGAGGCACAGTGGTGAGCAGAGTAATTATGGGATCCAACCTCACTGAGCTTCTGGTTTCCTGGGGCAGGCAGAGAGGAATCAAATAAGCACCCTAGTGAGAATGCAATTATAGATGGAGACGCAAAATTAACGGGACTGTCCCGTGAATGATTAGAACAAAGGCATCCACCTGGATTCACATTTACTGAGCAACTACTCTCTGGCAGGCTCTCGTGGGTGGGGTTGTGGTACAATGAGGAACAGGCAGAGGTCAGGCCCCACCTGGGAGCCCCTAGTCGAGAGAGAAGCAAAGCCTTGAACTCAGCTCCCCACCTGTCCAGCAGGACCCAACAGCACAAGAGTCAGGAGTGAGCCCACCATGGCTAAACCTCCCGTCAGAAACCCGGGTGTGTTCCATGGGGCAGGCTTGCAGGGAGGATGCCCAGCCTTTCCGCTGCCTCGGTTTCCCTTCCCTGACCCCTGACAGTCTCCAGCAGCTCCTGCCCTCAGCTCAGGGAGAGGACGTTGCAGAAGTGACCTCTGACAGCTTCTCAGCCAGGCTTCAGTGAAACCCCAGAACCACAGATAGGGGTGGGGCCTCGGGGAGAGGGAGTGGGGGGGGGCAGAGGGGAGCCCTGGATAGGATGACCAAGTGCCCAATGTGCCCAGGACTGAAGCGCTTCCCAGACCATGAGACTTGAAGTGCTAAAACCACAGCTGCCCCAGACACACCAGGGAGCAGGTCAGTTTAGCCAAGGAGGAGGGTGTAGAGATTCTCTAGAGCATAGGAGATGAGGAAAGAGCGCACCTAGAGCCTCTTTCTGGGGGGCAGGAGCTCAGAGAAGCCTGGCCATGGAGTCTCAAAGGAGTCCAACCCCAGGTGTCAGCAAAGGTGGCCATGCCCAAGCTGGCTATGGGTCCCCCCAGGGCCGGCAGTCCTTAGGGATGTCAGTAGTAGCCACAAGGCCCCCCAGCTTTTCAGATGTTGCATAAGCCCCCAGTTCTCATGCACCCCTAGGAAAGTCAGGAGAGGCTCCCCAGTGGCAACCCCCCAGCCTCCAGGACAGGGTTCCAGGGTAAGATCTATTTTATTTAAAGAAAAGAGTATTATATTTCTTACAGGATTTATGGAGCAAAGTGCCCTTTAGAGTCAGAATTCCCTGCAGAGCAGAACCTCTCATGCTGACAACCACCATTATTACTGCATTTCATGAACAAGGAACAGGTAAGTCAGGTGACTCGTCTGGGGTCACACAGCTCACAGCTGACAAGGGTGTGCACCTCTCGCCCAGTCCCCCCACACACACGCTCTCCTTGGCAAAGGTGGGTTTAGTGGATTATAAGCAAAGTTTTGGGGGCTGCCTCTGGGTGGAACATGTTTACAATCCAAAAGATATGCCACATTCTCGAAAACGCATCAAGGAAGCAAGTCTCCAAGAGGACACAGTCCCTACAAAGGAAATGCATTGACTATCCCAATTACTGAATGCTGAAATGCATAATGGAAAATCATATCATTTCTTATAACCCACGCATATATTCCAAGTCCATTAGTCCACTCCACTTAGCCCCTGCACTTTACTTACTAGTGCCAGCAGGCTGACGCGATGGGAAGTGCCTGGGCATTGACTAACCTCACACCCATCGGGGGGTCCCTTTTTCAGCATCAAGGTCAGGTGCATTTCAGGTGACCCAGAGCTGCAGGGCAGGAAGCAGCATTACCAGCAGGACCACAACTGATGACAGGCAGTTCAGAACCTTCCCCGCATCCTCTTCCAGTTGTAATTACTGGATGGCATGTCCTAATGGACTTATAACATGAGGAGCAGCATCATTTTCTTGAAATTTAAACCAAGCTGATGCATTTCCATTAGATCAATGGTTCCTAGCCTGGACTCCCATTAGAATCACCTGGAGGGCTCTGAAAAATACAGATGCCTGGGCCTGTCCCTAGCAAGTCTGACTTGATTGGTGTGGGGTCCAGGCATGAGGGGAGGTAAAAGATATCCAGGTGATTCTGATGTACGGCCGGGCCTGAGAATCCTTATCCCAGGTCAGTGCTTCTCAGACATCCGTGTGCATCAGAATCACCTGGAGAACTGGTGAAAACACAAGTTGCAGGCCCCACATCCATAGTTTCTGACCCAGTAGGTCTAGGGTGTGGTCTGAGAATTATTTCGCATTTCTAACAAGTTCTCAGGTGATGTTCACACCACTGGTCCAGGGACCACACTTTGATAACCATTGCATTAGATCAGTGACTCTCAACAGGGACAATTTTGGTCCCCCAAAGGACAGTGGGCAACGTCTAGAGACATTTTTGGCTGTTGCAACCGGAGCAGGCAACAGGAGAAAAGGCAGGTGTATCTGGGGGTGGAGCCAGGGAATGATTCTAAACATCCTACAGTCCGCACAAGACAGCCCCCACCACCAAGAATCGTCTAGTCCAAGACGCTGCCTTAGATCAGTCCCCTCTCGTTCTTGAGAAAAAATAAATTAACCCCCATACCCTCAGCCCCTTTGCTTCCAGTCTCTTCCCTGCAGTTGCTGCTCCCCTGTAACGGTTGCTCCCTCAAAGCGTTCCCTCGAGCTGTGAGGTCCCTGAAAAGGCCAGCTGTGCCCTGCTTCTGCTTTGCTGGCAACGACGTCTGTCCCAGAGCCCAAGCTCACTGCTGACTGGGACAGTCACAGAACCCATCTTTAAACAAGCAGATAGTCCCTGCAGTGGGGCGGCTCTGCCCCACACCCTCCCCGCTGCCCCGGGCCCTGGAAGCACCCGCCTGCCCTAGGATGATGGCTCGAAGGGAAGGAGTCTCTCCTTTGCTTGGAACTAGAGACACAAATAAAGCACGTGCAGGGATCAGGGGGAGGCCAGCTCCTTCCTCTGTCCAAGTGCCTTCCTTCCTAGGCACTGCCATCCACTCCAACTGGACACAGGTATCTGAGCGGCCCCTGCTTCCCAGGCACAGCCAGGCTCTCCTTGCAGGGGTGGGCAGGGCCGCCACAGCACCCCAAGCCCCTGAAAAGCTGGCAGCCTACTCTGGGGAGAGAGCACTGGACTCAGAGCCTCCATGTCTATCGTGGGCACCAGTTCCACTCACAGCGTGACCTTTGACCCTGACATCCCCTCTCTGGGCTCAGGCCCCCTGACCTGATTCACTCTGGCCAGTAAAGGAGGCAGCTTAGCAAGGTATCTTGTTACCACTGCAGCTCCCCCTCCTCCCTTGCCTCATTGCTGGTGCTCCCAGCTCCAGTTAGCATCCTCCCTCTCTACACCACGCCCTCCTCCATTCCTGCAGAGTCGATTGCCATTAACATGCTGAGTCTGAAACCCACTCCCTAGCTCCACCCAGAGCCCCACACCCACATTTCCAACAAGGCTGGGTGTTTCCAGTTAAAGGCACATGACCATCTCAACTTTGGCCTGAATCATCACCTCCATCTCCAGATCCAGCATCCTCACCACCCTCCCCCAAACTGGCCAGTCCCACCCACCTCAACTCTTCAAAGCTACCTGCTGCAGACCTGCCTCCAAAGTCCTCCCTCAGTCCACCCCTCTTCTCCATCCTTATGACCATTTCCTGTTTTCGGCCATCATCATCTCTCACTAGACCCTTGCAGAAATCTCCCTACTGGTCTTTCTGCTGCCAGTCTTACCCTCTCTGGTCCACCTACACACTGCGGCTGGAGGGATCTTTCTGGAGTGATGAGCTTAAAACCCTTTGGATGCCCCGCCCGCCCTCAGGATGAACCCAACTGCTTTAGCCTGGCTCACAGGGCCTGCCCGCGGTCTAGCCCCTCCTCTCTCACCCCTCTTCACCCAAACTTCACCTCCTTACAAAGCCTGGCGTTCCTTTTGCTGTTGAGCCTTTGCCATGCTGTCCTCTCAGTCCCAAGCGGCCCCCTTCCCCCAGCCTGGTGACTTCTCTCCTTCTCCGACACAGCATGGCTTCATTCCCTAAGGGAGCCTTTCAAATGCGCTCACCACTTAAGTCCTGCCTCTGGGACGATCCCTAAGCCTGGAGCAGCTATGCTCCCATGACACCCTGAGCACATCACACTGACCACATTTGGTTGCTGCCCAGTCCAGGAACACAGGCAGGCGGGTACAAGGCAGGTTGTGTTTTGTACACGAGCACTACTCGCCAGGGGACAAGAAGAATCTGAAACACAGCCCACACCCTGTTTGCTCCGGCCTCCCTCCGCCCAGACGCAGGGCTGCACCCACCCAAAGGAAGAGCATTCTTTCCTAATTGGCACAAATGGGCCAGTGGCAGCCCTGCTCGCTGCTGTCTCCCTGAGCACAGGGTAGGCACTCCACAAATGTTTCTTGCACAAAATGAATTGAACATTCTAGCATCCTCACCAAGAGCCCCCATCCCCCATTCCCAGCTCTCTCTGGCAGGCCTGCCCTTGGCCTTGGACTTACCCACGGTGCTGATCACTGTGCAGCAGAAAAAGAGTGAGCTCAGGAAGGACCAGTCTGCAGACCTGCTAAACCACTGGGGCTTCGCCTTCTGCAGCAGCTTCCCAAGATCCCGTTTCCTGCTTTCCTCAACTCAAGAAAGAGACGAGCAGTGTGAGAGGGAAGTTTCCACTCTTTAAAATAGGTCCCTCCCGCCCAGGTGAAGGAGTCTTCCTCAGGGACTGGCACACCCACTGCCCTGTGGTCCTCATCAACACCAAGTGAAGGCTCTCAGAGCCCTCTTAAATGTGTCTGTAGTTTAGGTCCTGCTCCAGTACCTGCAGAGATTAGGAGGCCACTACAGCAAACTATGAGTGATGAGCCCCAAGAAAAGGTCCTCGGGGGTCCAGCCTGAGCTCAGCCATAGAATTGCTATGCAGCCTTTCTGAACTTGCCGAGCCTTGCAGAAGGGCCTACTGACTTCTGCTCTGTCTCTTTCCCTGGGACCTTGAAAACAGAAAGAATAAAATCTTCAATAAAATGCAAGTAGTTGCGTGATTGCAAACTGTACCCACTCCTGGAGACCATTCAGCCTGGTGGAGCTTGGCGATCATACTGGGATCGGCTCCCTGACGATGTCTGGAAAGCCTTGGCAGAGGCAGGTCTGCAGGCCCTGGTTTCTCAGGGAGGTTCCCAAATGGTTCCTCGGCCTAGCAGTCAGTGGATTTGGGGATCCTAGAAGCCACCAGCCCGTGGGTTCAGTTGTAAGAGGATGTCATAGAGCCTGGCACACACCAGGACGTCACATTCATTTGAATGGGCACCAACCCGGGGGTCCAGACACCTGCAATATAGACTCAGCTCTGACCCTGACTAGGAGCTGTGGACAAGAGGCTTCTTTCTGAGCCTCAGTTTCCCCATCAGGGAGGCAGCATGACATAGTAGTGAAAAGCTCTGGCTTTGGAATCTAAATGCCCGGGGTTGAATCCCTGGCTCCACTTTCTAGTGGGTGACCTTGAATAAGTCACTTAACTCTCAGGGCCTCAGTTTCCTAATCTGTAAAAGGGGGACATTCATACCCACCCCATTGGGTTGGTATGAGGATTAAGTGAGATGGTGTGTGGAAAGCATTTGGCACAGGGTCTGCCTTTTAATCTCCAGCGAAAACGGGTACAAAATGGACATTTTGCTCTGTTTTCCCATACTATTCTGAGCATCAGAATCACCCAGGAAACCTTTTAAAAATAAGGTTCCCAGCCCAGCCCCAGAGATCTTGGTTAGGTGGTTTGGGGGAAGAGCCTGGGAACATGCATTTCAGACAAGCTCCTTGGGCAATTCTGATACGTGGCCAGGTTTGGAAAACAGTGTCCAGTGGCAGGTGGCATCTCCTGGGTCAGATGAGTCGGTGTGTGTCTGTCTGGCATAGATGCAGAGAGAAGGAGTAGGACCCTCCACCAAGGGGAGACTCTGTTGCCTGTCACCAGCCTCTGGTCAGCCCCTACTAAAAGGACCTCCCACAGTAAGGTCAGAGGAGTTATTAACAGCCTGGCTGAGGACCTGTCATACCGAGGGAGGGACCCTGTTCTTCCCCTGACTTTTAGAGTCTGTCTTTCCGTTTTCTTTTATTCATTTATTTAATCTCTATTATGTTATCTTGCTCTGTTGAGGACATCTTTGCAAGATTAGGGGACAGAACAGAATAAAGTGACAAATACAAATGAAAAGCAATAAGGACATTTATAAAAATCCTTCCTAGAGTCTTCATGTCTATTATGCCCACAGAGTCCCTGTGATTGGCAGGCCTGAGATGGTGGGACTTCTGCTCGCTGACAGACTGAGACCCAGAAAGGGCAACTGCTCTGCCCCAGATCACACAGCAAACTGGGAGAGTAACTGGGACTAGAACAAGGACCCAGGTTCTTCTCTGAGTCCCACCACAAAAAAAGACTTAAGAACAAGCTGCTATCTTGGGGGTCCTAGCTCAATCTGGATTGTTCCTTGAATTCTGGTCTCTGTGAACGAAATCATGGGGGTGGTGCAGTAAGTTTTGAGGACCAGCCTAAGAACCCCTAGCCCCAGATCTGGTCACCCATCCAACCCACCCCACCTCATCAAATCGCCAGCAACACTTCCTCCCCAGACCCTGCTGGGCTGGGTGGGGCTGGGAGCTGAGGCAAAAGGAGAGGAAGCTGGTCTTTCCAGAGACCTACTGGGTGCCCAGTGCTTTTCCTACATTCTTTACAGCAACCCTGAATGGCCATACATTATTCTCCCCCATTTTACAGAGGGGAAAATGGAGGCTCAGAGAGAAGTCACTTGCCTAAGGTCACTCAGGAATGGGGAGAATGCAAGCAGAGGGCTCTCCTAGACCAGAGTCCTGCAAGGCAGTCCTGCTCTAGGGGGGCTGCCTCCATCCACAGAGAAAGGGCCTGTCCTGCCCAGGTGAGCCACCTACCTGTTCTGTTGCATTTCAAGATGTCACAGAGCTTCTCCAAGAACTCCTCAAACTCCGGGTCATCTGCCCCCAGGTCCTGGCTGCCTTCAATGACTGAGAAGAGCACGGCACCCAGCAGTGCATAGGTCACCAGGGAGCAGAGGAAGCAGAGGCGAGGCAAGAGCTTCTCCAGGGCCTCCCAGCAGCACCTCCTAGCCTGGGGTGGCCCCGCAGCCTCCATCCTCCCAGGAGTGGGCAGGGCAGGAGCTGCTGGAAGAGGTGGGAGCATCGAGGCCCCACCAGCAGGAGGAGAGGGAGTGCCCGAGAATGGCTGGGCTCCAGTGCTAAGTGGATGCTGCCTGCCCTTCCCTGCCCTTCTCCCAAGGACTTGAGAAGCAGCCGGCACTCTCTGCGTTCATTTCCTGCAAGTTTCTCCGACAGTGCCCCGACTAGTGCCCCAAATTGCTATTGATCCACCAGACTGATGGGTGCCCAGCAGCCGGGCCAGCCTGGGAGCTGCCCTGCAAGTGCTTTGGGAGGACCATGTGGTGGTTTGTGCTTTGGCCTTTCCCATCCCGAAGCTGCACTTTTGACTTCCAGATACCAAATGTGACTTTCGGTTTTAGCCAAGTGATTATCCTTCTTGGGGGTGTCTGTGGTACCCAGGCTCTTAGACAGGTAGAAATAATAGTAACTAGTGTGGCCAGAAAGCCACGGTTTACAAAGGGCCTTTATTGTGTGTGAATCTAATTATGGGTCTCAATTCTTCACTCGCCTGTAGCATAACCAGCCTTGCCTTGGCTTCAAGGTGGGCAGAACATACTCCCCTGCGCCTTGCAATTGGACTGGGCCACGTGACTTGCTCCAGCCAATCAGGTGTTAGCAGACATGACGTAAACAAGAGGCTTGAAGTCCTTTTGCAGTTTTTGCAGTTGGACTTGCTCCCCCCTGCCCTGTCTCTGCCACGGGGGATAAAAGGACAAAACAAAAAACTTGCCCAGATGGCAGATGTGGAGATGCGTGCATGTTCAGTCCCTCGTTACGAAAGAGTTTTCTGCGCCGCTTCCAGGAGCATGATTCCTGACAGTCACCAGCTATTCAGGCTTTGCTCTCTTTCCCGCTCTGTTCCCCAGAAAGCCCTGGTCCAATGACTGAGCAAAGTGAGAGTAAAATCGCTTACCCATGTCGGCCACCTGCAGGACTCATCCAACCTGAAATCTTTGGTCCAGAGCATCCCGTTGGTCTGCCAGAGATTTTTGTCAGAGCTGCATCGTGACCTGAAGGCTTCCCCTGACCCATCTTGCTTCCTCCCGTCTCCTTTACTTTGCAATAAATAAAGCTTTGGCACTCCCTACTCTACTTGTGTCTGCTTCACAGAGGACCCAACCAGCAATAGTCAGCACCAGGCGTGGTTTGAGAGAGCAGGATCTTAAATGGGGATTCAGCACCAGGTCACTCAATACCCACAGGTAAGAAGATGGTGCTCAGACAGCTCTTGGCTCAAGATGGCAAAAGTTCGACAATTGGATGGTTACCTGGTTGCATGTGACTCAGTGTGTCTATTCCTCAGTTTGGGTTTTTATCAGTGTACAGGAGTCTTCACCACACTTGGGCCTGTGTGATGGTGGGAGCAGGAATGGAGGAGAACCTGCAAGAAAAGGGGACATTTGTGGCTAATTGAGGGCCATGAAATCCAGTCACCCCTCCTACTACATGCAACTCCTTTGAGGTGATCTGAGTTTCTTTGGTCTTTAGGAGGGAGAAATGTTCCTATAATCCTGTAGGTAATCCAGTCCCTTTTCCTAAGGAGGAAGGGAGAGAAGTTAGCTAGAGGCCTGCCTCTTCTTGAAGAGTAAATCTTTCTCCTAATAAGGCATCAGTCAACCAGCCAACAAGTACTTTCTGAGGGCCTGCTAAGACTAGACGATCTGAGGGCAGTTAAGGTCCCTGATGTCCACCGAAGGATCTACATGGGGGATGTAGGTACACGGGCTTATGCACTTAAATACAGTGAGGGACGAGTTACAGGGTGAGATGCAAACACTGTGTGGCTTATGGAGTCAGAAGAAAGAGGGATGTTCTGAGCTGGAGAGACCCTGGCAGCCCTTGCGAAAGAAAAGAGTTCAAAAGATATCACAGGAGAAGTTGAATAATGGCCAGATGAGAGCAGATTAGCTGTAACAGATTGGACTGAGGTCCGATTTTCTAGTTCTGGAGGTAGGGGTAAGGGTAGATAGAAAAAGTGAGGTATTTTTTTCCCCTTCTAAACAAGGGGCCATTTTGCAGAGAACACAAGTGCACAAGATGCAGGTTAAATAAAATCAAGCTTTGAGGCCACCTCCTGGTCCCTTGGGGCCCAATGGGGTACTTGACTCCAGACAGGTGTGGTGTACACAGACGGTGGAGGAGGGGGTGGGGGTGGGGGGGCTCCAGCCACCAGGGATGAGTTCTTCTAATCCAAGCAGGAGAGGAAGAGCGCTCCCTGGGCACCCTGCCCCCACCTTCCCTGCAGGGTGCTGCTGGAGTTGCACTGGCCCTTGTAAGCTCTCCTTTCACAGGCTGCCCTGGAGGGAGATGTCACCACCATGTTCTCTTCTGTGTGTGTGTGTGTGTGTGTGTGTGTGTGTGTGTTTCTCACTCTTAAGAGAGGATGAGCAATCAAGGAGTGGGCTTCACAATCACAAAGAACCCGCTGGTTCTTTTAAAAATAATAAGAAGCCAATTACACTCCTACATTAAACATGGCATTGGTCCCTAACGTCAAATTGCTGTGTTATAAACAAGTCATATTGTCCCTTTCATATTTATGGCCTGCAGGCTTAACCACTTAGGGGAGATTGCAGGAATTAAAGTAAGAAAATCTTAATAAAAAAAGATTAATGAGGAGAAGGTAAGAGTTTGAGAGGGGCCCCCAGGCATCCAAAGCTTGTTTGCTGGAGCCGGCCCATACGTGCAGCTTCCAGCGGGCTCCCTTTGGGTTAGGGCTCCACCTCTGGTCCAGTTGGCTTTGCCCTGGAAACAGGGACACGTGTCCTGCTGTCCACACAGTAAGGCCTATGGGGAAATGACGATTCCTTCAGAGGAAGGTGGACATGCAGGACCAAAGAGGAAATTGAACCTTAGAGTCCATCACTGACCAAAAACCTGCCCGTGGGTCGTCATTCCCTGCTTGGCAATCACCCTATGTCCTAGACGGTGTAAAGGCGTATTTGCTTTAATAAGAGGACCCCAAAATATACACAGTGGCTTAAAAGAAAAGAAGTATATTAATCTCTTATATAACAGTCGGGGAGCAAGAGTTCCATGTTGTTGGAGCAGCTCTGCTCCAGCCAGTCATTAAGTACCCAGAGTCTGTGCATCCTGTTGTCCCCTCATATCCTAGGGCAGCGGTGCTCAAGGTGTGGTCCTTGGACAAATGGCATGACCATCATTTGGGAACTTGCAAGAAATGGAAGTTCTTGGGGCCCACCCAAGACCTACTGAATTCAAAACTCTGAGGGTGGGACCCAGCATTCTGAGCAAGCCCCCAGGTGATTCTAAAGCACACAGAAGTTTAAGAAGCACTGCCCTAAGGTATTGCCCCCAGCTGCATGCTTAAAACTGAACTCTTAGATTCACCCCTGTTCTAGCTCAAGGGAAGGGAAAGAGGAAGTCAGTATAATCAATTTTCTTTGAAGCCAGTGAGGTGGAAATTGCACGCATCACTTCTGCTCACATGGATGAGAGGATGAGAACTTTGTCACGACCACACCCAGCCACGAGGTCATCTGGAAAAGGTAGCATCTAGCAGGTGGCAACTGCCCAGGAAGAAGGGGGGAATTGATGGTGAGGACACAACTGATCACGGCCCCACCAGCGGAGCAAGGACCCCCTGAATCTGCTGCTAAATCACCTCACAAATTCTCCTTCTAGAGTCGACTTCTTAGTACAGCCTGCAGTTCGTCATCCTGGTTGGCGAGGGTAGAATGAGGAAAGCCAAAAGGTTAGACACGTGCGGAAGTGCCCTGGGAACTCTACAGCACTGTGTAAATTCAAGGGGTGCCGCTCTTATTTGGGGGACCTGCTTTTTGTTTGGGCTTTTTGTGATGTTTATTATTCTAGAATGTTTGGGCATAGAGGTTCCTTCCCTCTCCATCCTGCTGGTTCAAACCTGATGAAAAACTGAATGACACACTGAGAGGAAACTGTGACCATAATCAAGTAGGGGGGAAAACACAAAGGTGGACCCGCATGTGATCCAGATGTTAGAGTGAGCAGACAAGTACTTTAGCTAGCTACCTGTAACTATAGCTAACATGTTAAAAGCAATAGAAGAAAAGGTTGACAAATGAATGAGCGAACAATTTTAACAGAGAATCTATAAATCTGTAAGAAGGATATTCTAGAATTTAAAATTAACATATATGAAATTAAAATCTTACTGAGAATGAGAAGACAAGCCACAGACTGGGAGAACATATTTGCAAAAGACATGTCTGATAAAGAATTTATCCAAAATCGGGGGGGAGGGTATAGCTCAGGGGTAGAGCACATGCTTAGCATGCATGAGGTTGTGGGTTCAATTTCCAGTACCTCATTAAATAAAAAATAATAAACAAGTAAAATTAATTACCTCCCCTCCAAAAAAATGTAAGAACTCTAAAACTCAATAATAAGAATAAGAACAACCTCATTTTGCAATACATAAGAGTATTAAATTAACACATTGGACAGCTTAAATTTACACAATAAGCCAACTAGATCTCAATAAAGCTGGAAAGTAAAATAAAAAGAATATTTTCAACTTTTAAAAAGAAGAACAATCTGATTTAAAAATGGGCAAAAGATCTGAACAGACACGTCAAAGAATGTATACAAATAAGCACACGCAAAGATAGTGTCATATATCACTTGGGAATCGCAAATTAAAACAGCAACGACATACCACTATACACTAGTTAGAATGGTCCAAATCTGGAACACTGCCAACACCGAACTCCACAGAGGATGGAGAGCAACAGGACCTCTCATTCTTTGCCAGAGGGAATGCAAAATGGTACAGCCACTTTGGAGGACAGTTTGATGTTTTTTTACAAAACTAAACATACTCTTACCATATGATCCAGCAAACACACTCCTTGGTATTTCTCCAAAGCAGTTGAAGGCTTATACCTACTCAGAAGCTTGCACGTGGATGTTTACAGCAGCTTTACTCATATTCGCCAAAAGCTGGAGGCACCCAAGATGTGTTTCAATAGATGAATGGATAAATTAACCATGGTACAACCAGACAATGGTTTATTATTCAGCATTAAAAAGGAAATGAGCTATCAACCCATGAAGTGCTTTAAATGCACATTACTAAGTAAAAAAAGCCAGTATACTGAATGATATTGAATGATACTGAA